GTTGCTTATTTGCACTTTTTGGTTCTTATCTAGATGCAGTAGAATGACATAACACTTAGGTAGAAAGATGCAGCCAAGTAATCCAGCGCTAGAGGCCAAAATTGAGAAAATCTCTACAGTCACCATATATTTCCCCTTTGTGCTGAGATAGGCTGGGATGAAGGATACCCAGACAGTGCAGAAAACCAGCATGCTGAAAGTTATGAACTTGGCTTCATTGAACCTGTCAGGGAGCTTCCTGGCAAGGAAAGCCACAATGAAGCTCACCAAAGCCAAGAGGCCCATGTAGCCCAGAATGGAGTAGAGTGCAGCGGGTGAGCTCTCATTGCACTCCAGGATGATTTGTCCAAGCTCTGAATAGAAATCAGCATCTGGGAATGGAGGGGAGGTTCCCAGCCAGACCATGCAAATGGCAGTCGGAATGAGAGAACAGACCATTATAAAGAAGTATGAAAGTCTAGGTCTCAGCCATTTTCGTGCACCGCTGCCTGGCTTTGTGGCCTTGAAAGCCAGAACCACCGTGATGGTTTTGGCCAAGATGGTAGCAAGAGAGGCAGAGAAAATGATCCCAAAGACTGCTTGCCGAAAAAGGCAAGTCATTTTCCTTGGGCGTCCGATGAAGAGCAAGCAACAGAGGAAACAGAGTATCAGAGTGGATAAGAGAATATAACTGAGATGACGGTTATTGGCTTTGACTATAGGATGCCCTCTGAACTTAATAAAAGTTCCTAGCACCAGGGCAGCAAAAACTGAGAAAGAAAGAGAAGTGGAAGCTGAAATAATTCCCAAAGGTTCTCCATAGGACAGGTAGATGATGTTTTTGGTGATACATGTATTTCTTGCTTCATTTGCATAGAGATGTTCTTCACACGCCACACAATGGTCCATATCTGAAAGAAGGAAATCAGTTCACCCTATTACTTTTCAGGTTTTATAGGTTAACTTTGGCTGAAACATTTGCACCATCCATACATTAGGTTAGGAAAACAATGTGGGCTTTTCTCATCCTGCCTACCTGTTTGGTTGGAGATTTCCCCATTGGGACATTCAGTGCAATGGAAGCAACAACTGGGTTTGTCATCAAGAAGGACTTTCCGTAATCCAGGGGGACAGTTATCGCTGCACTTAGAATTAGGTGGCTATGAGGAAGCAAGGAGGAGAAATTTAAAGTTTATTACAGAATATGTTTTTAATCATAAAACACCTTTATTACCTATCTGACCATTAATATAGAATATATTAATTCAGAACAACATATTTACAATCATGCTATCAGTTGCATCGACTCACATGTCCTTTATGAGAGATATAAAATGCTCTTTCTTTGTCCATGTGGATAATCTCCTTTAGCAGCTCATGAAGCAAGAGTACACTCCAAACTCTGTCTCTCTGTCTGCTTGTCTCCTGTTTCTCTGCAAGCACATGCACAGCTCAAGCCTGATAAATGTAACAGTATCCAAAAGTCCTAGGCTCAGCTATCTCCTCGGGTGTTATCCAGCCAATCAGCTTCTTGCATCTTATTTTACAGTTGACACACACACACACTAACTGACCTCTTGTATGCTTCAACAATTTACCTGGCACCAGTTAGATCGCATGTTAATAAATTTTATATGCTGGTGAATTTTATATGTTTTTTTTTCTCATTGCTACATGTCTTTCACATTATGTTATTGTTTTGGCAATTGATAACCTACTCTTTTATCACACTAATTGTTTTGAATAATCTATTATTTTTAGTGCTGACATATAACCTTTTATTATGGTATAGAACCACAAGAACCATCCTTATATATTTAGTAGAGCAGCAGTGGTGCAATGGGTTAAACCCTCATGCTGACTGAACTGCTGACCTGACGGCTGGCGGTTCGAATCTGCGAGATGGGGTGAGCTCCTGTCTGTCAGCTCCAGCTCCCCATGCGAGGACATGAGAGAAGCCTCTCACAGTATGGTAACACATCCCCTGGACAATGTTTCTGCAGACAGCCAATTCTCTCACACCAGAAATGACTTGTAGTTTCTCAAGTCACTTCTGACACAATATATATGCATGTGTGTATATATATGTGTGTGTGTGTGTATGTGTGTGTGTATGTGTATATATATATATATATATATATATATATATTCAGTGCACTAGTTTTAAATCATCAAAATAAAATACCTTCTGGATGGGACTGCCTTGTATGCACCTTACCTGGGCAAATTTTACATCCCATAGAGTCATCTCTTCTTGGATGGTGACACAATGGTTTGCTGCATGATGAAGGTTTACCTCCCCAACTCTTATGCTGACTAAGGAATGATTGGGGAGCAAAATCCAATTTAAAATCTCATAGGTATTTGTGTCTCCAGCCCCATAAAAAAAGGCATCCTCTGCAACACTGTTATTGAAAAGTACTTTTTCAAGATAGTGGTGATACTGCACAAAAGAGAGAGTAGATTTTAATATATGATTACCATTTCATATATTATATATTATATATTATATATTATATATTATATATATATATATTAATAATTTATATATTATTCACACACACACACACACATATATATATATATTTGGCTGAAGTCTTAGGATGCTTCCTGAGAAGCATATTATCATCTAGTTGAGTTTTGTGGATTGGGGGCTACTTTTCTCCAAATGTGTGTAATATTGTTTAACTAATAGCATCCCACTGGAGCACTGCAGCACACCCAAATACCCAGGAGTTACCCTGGACCGTGCTCTGACCTACAAGAAGCACTGCTTGAATATCAAGCAAAAAGGGGGTGCTAGAAATTATCCTATAAAAGCTGACTGGCATAACCTGGGGAACACAACCAGACACAGTGAAGACATCTGCCCTTGCATTTTGCTACTCTGCTGCTAGGTACACATACCCAGTGTGGAACACATCTCACCACTCTAAAACAGTGTATGTATCTCTTAATGAGACATGCTACATTATGACAGGATGTCTACACCCTACACCACTTGAGAAATTATACTGTTCAGCCAATATTGCCCCACCTGACATCCATTTGGAAGTAGTAGCCAGTAATGAAAGGACCAAAGCAGTGACATTTCTGGCCCATCCTCTGTTCGGATATCAACCAGCATGTCAATGGCTTAAATCAAGAAACAGCTTCCTAAGATAAAGAAAGATACTTGCAGAAACACCTCAGCAAGCAAGAATCCAAAAGTAGCAGGTTGAAACCCAGCACCTTAATCGGTTGCTGAGACCGGATGAGAAATTCCCTCCTGGGCACACAGATGATTGGGCCACTTGGAAGGTGCTGAACAGGCTGAGCTCTGGAACCATGAGATACACAGGCAACCTTAAGAAATGGGGCTACAAAGTGGAGTCCACGACATGTGAGTGTGGAGAAGAGCAAATCACAGACCACCTGAGGTTTGCCATTAGAAATCATGAACAGAATCATCAACATCCACACCAGGTATATTTCATGGTAGTCACCGAAATAAAAACATATGCAGCAATAACATAATATTTACCGACAGCAACCGATCAAAATAAACAAACATAAAAACCAAAAGTAATAACAAAAAAAATATCAAGCAGCAAAAGTATGGGAAGGGAGAGTTATGAGGATATGTGGTATGACTGTGGGAATATCAATCAGCAAATAGCATGAATGGAGAGTGGTGCTATATTGGGGGTGTTCATGTTGATATGTAGCAATTATTAGTAATTGCGTATCTGTTGTGAAATGGCACTTTGTGTGATTACCTCATCACAAAGGGGCTAAATTTGGTGAAATGGTTTAGCCCAGGTCACCCACAGAGCCCACTTGATCCTATCAAATGATGCTGGTACAGCTCTGTAGGTGAAGGAGGACGGAGCTGGTCCATGCCACTGCTATGGCAACATGGGAGGCATCTAAAATGGAGTGCAACTAAAATGATCAAGGGTCTGGACAACAAGCCCTATGAGGAGTGGTTTAAAGAGCTGGGTATGTTTACCCTGAAGAAGAGAAGGCTGAGAGGAGACATAATAGCCATGTATATGTGTGTGAGAGGAAGTCATAGGGAAGAGGGAGTAAGCTTGTTTTCTGCTTCCCTGGAGACTAGGATGTGGAACAATGGCTTCAAACTTCAGGAAAAGAGATTCCATCTGAATATTAAGAAGAACTTTCTGACTGTTCAGCAGTGGAACTCTCTGCCCCGGAGTGTGGTGGAGGCTCTTTCTTAGGAGGCATTTAAACAGAAGCTGGATGGCCATCTGTCAGAGGTGCTTTGAATGTGATTTTCCTGCTTCTTGGCAGGTGGTTGGACTGGATGGCCTACGAGGTCTCTTCCAACTCTATGATTCTATGATTCTATCCCATGTTGTCATTACAAGAAATGGGGGAACCACACATTCTCCACGTTTTCCTCTATGGGATCAGCTTGATGACAAGGTGGGTGATGTGGGACATGGGGTGCCAAGTTCCCCACACCGCCTGACAACACGGAGCAACAACACACAACTCCGACAACACCATATGACAAGGTCAAAAGTCAAGAAAACTCAAATTACCTGCCAGAGAGGGATCTTTCCAAGCCCTAGATTATTTTTCTTTTGTTTGTGTTCCAATCTGTCAAAAGTTAGTTTGTGCAGTGCTTTGGCCACTTCAAAGACCGCTTTGCAGATACTGTAACCCTGGGGACTCATGTTCATCTCAAAATGGGAGACATATGGGCCGTCCAGCTTTTCCTGCCCAGTACATTGCCTGACTCCGAGCATTGGTGGCCGCGAACGGGGAGGAGGCAAGTTGCAATGAAATTCTTGGCTCCAGAAATTCTTAATGAAAATGTCATTGGGATATTTGTTCAGAGTTACAGACTGGAGAAAAAACTGGAATCCTGGAATCTCTTTTTGATGGGAACCAAAGGACAAAGCCCCAGAGAATGATTTTGTGTTTATATGCAGATCAGAATCCCACTTTGCTGTGGTCAACCACACTTTCCCTGTCAATATCCCACTAATGAGGTCGAATATAATTGAAAGGAACTTGGCATCACCATGCATAAACACTATCTTGCTTGAAGACCATGACAACTCTTCTCTTCTCTGTTGCAGTTCAAGGTAAAAAAATGCATAGGGTTGGTACAATAGTGTGAATTCCCAACAAATCCCATTCTTCTGCATTTCATCTTGTAGGTTAAGGAGGACGTTCTCACTAGTGCCATATTTTGGAGCAACAAGACCAATCCATAACCAGTCAAGGTAAAGGAGCAACTGGACAATACCCACATGCTGGAGATCATCACTTGAATGTATCTGATACAAACCAGGGGATTCAATGTTGTTGCCTAAAACAGGATTATACGTGCCGTAACTAACCTGTGAAAACAGACACAATTCCCCAATGTTGTTACATAGTCAATGCAGTAAGAATTAAAGAAGGGATAATTACCGATTAAAAATGAGAGAGGAGTTACAAAATTGTGTTGGGCATTTGTGGCTATTTAATAGTATGTGACTGCGCTGCTTATTGCACAACATCATGGCACACTGGGGTTGCAATCTTTTTTGTGTGTGTCAGGAGCGACTTGAGAAACTGCAAGTTGCTTCTAGTGTGAGAGAATTGGCCGTCTGCAAGGAAATTGCTCAGGGGATGCCAGGATGTTTTGATGTTTCACCATCCTTGTGGGAGACTTCTCTCATGTCCCGGCATGAGGAGCTGGAGCTGACAGAGGGAGTTCATCCGCACTCTCCCTGGATTCAAACCTGCGACCTGCCAGTCTTCAGTCTTGCTGGCACAATTGTGCCACTGGGGGCTCCATCATATAATAATGGAAGCACAGAGTTGGAAGAGACCATGAGGGACATGCAGTCCAACCTGCTTCCATGCAGGGAAAACAGAATCAAAGCACTCTGACAGGTAGTCCCTTGTTTGGAGATAGCTTTTAATCCAGAAGGGAAATCCATGAACAGATTCCTAAAAGTGTTTTATTCCACTGTTGAAGTGGAGCAGTAAGTAACTAGCTCTGCTGCCATGATGTTGAGTGGAGCCACGTGGTGGCGTGATTGTGTCATGGGCATATATTTTCACCACTGTTCCCAAGCTGTGGCTATTCAGTTTCTGATAACCAGATAGAGAGGATATCCAGTTGCTTGAAGTGCAATATACTGCTGAGATATAGAATAGAATAATAGAATCATAGATTTGGAAGAGACCTTGTGGGCCATCTAGTCCAACCCCCTGCCAAGAAGCAGCAAAATCGCATTCAAAGCACCCCTGACATATGGCCATCCAGCCTCTGCTTAAAAGCCTTCAAAGAAGGAGCCTCCACCACACTCCAGGGCAGAGAGTTCCACTGCTCAAAAGTTCTCACAGTCAGGAAGTTCTTCCTCATGTTCAGGTGGAATATCCTTTCCTGTAGTTTGAAGCCATTGTTCCGCATCCCAGTCTCCAGGGCAGCAGAAAACAAGCTTGCTCCCTACTTCCTATGACTTCCCCTCACATGGCCATCATGTCTCCTCTCAGCTTCATCTTCTTCAGGCTAAACATGTCCAGTTCTTTGAGCCACTCCTCACAGGGCTTGTTCTCCAGATCCTTGATCATTTTAGTCACTCTCCTCTGGACACATTCGAGCTTGTCAACATCTCCCTTCAGTTGTGGTGCCCAGAATTGGACACAGTAATCCAGGTCTGGTCTGACCAAGGCAGAATAGAGGGGTAGCATGCCTGGATCTAAACACTATACTCCTATTTATGCAGGCCAAAATCCCATTGACTCTTTTAGCCACCGTATCATTGTTGGCTCAAAAAAGCCATATCTTTTGGAAGTGTTACTACTTCATGTGTTGCCATTTCATCCTTTATAGCAAGTAACAAAATAGCTTGGATCACAGCTACCCACGGATATTTGGGAGAGCAGAATTGGGAAATATGTAGCTTTCAGATGTTGGACTGCAACTTGCAATATCATCAGATGGGTGGTTTCCCATCTCTGCACACTGCCGAGATGCTGCCAGGATGGAGTCCGCCACAGCCCATCTGATGACGCAGGCCTACTTCCGATGGAGCTCTGTGCTGGCAGTGTGTCAGCAGAATGTAGAGACAGAGCCCTGAGGAGTCGGGTGACTAACCGACTCCTCATAGAAGAAGCTGAGGACAGCATGGACTGAAGTCAGGGACAGTGGGGAAATATTGTTGGATGGCAGCCAATGACCCACGATGCTAAGGGAAATGGAACACTTTCCCACAATTTCCCCCACTGTCCCCAGCTACCCCTTGGCTTCTGGACCTCCATGTGATAAGGTCCTTCCACACTTTATCAACTTTTTCACACTTTTATCACACTTTTTCAATATTTGGAAGCCTATGGGGTTGCCCATCTTTGGCATAGAAAGACCCTTTTAAGAGCATCTCCATGAAAGTCCACATGGAAAAGTAAAAGCCAGGATTTACATTTACTGAGCTCTTACCTGTGGTAACTTGTAGATCCCCAGCATGTTGGCCATCTGCATGGAGAACTCTGATGTCAACCCTCCAATGACAGCCACCATCTTCTTGTGGCCTTGGCAATTGTAGTTGGGAAGTATTTTGACTTTCTCCTCATTCTCTGTGCCCATCATGTTGTAAGATGGATACCCATAACCATAGTAGTACCCATATCCATAGGGAGGAGAAAGAATTGGAGTGAGTTTGTCCCTTTCAGACAGAAGGCTAATGACGTTCTCATAGGTTTGGCCTCCATTGTAATAGTTATCATAGATACGGAATCCCAGAGAAATATTGGGTAAGAAATGGGGATCTTTGTTGATTTTCTCCACAGCAAATACAAGTGCCAAGACTTGCTGGTAGCTCCTTGACATTGGGCTGTGTGAAAAGAACAGAGGAAACATTTCCCATGCCTCAATTACCTAGAAAGGTGGATTAGCTTCAGATGACATTTGGCCCCAAACAATCTGCTGTTTGAGACAAAGGACAACATGACACTGTTATTAAGAGTTTCTGAATGACAGGGTTCCACCCTAAGAGTTGACAATAAGTAACTTTATTAAGAAATGAGGAGAAAGAACATACAGGGAGACATAGCTTCCTGTCATTGATGAAATAATAATATATTGATAATTAAGTTTAAGTCAGAGAAAAGTAGCTCCACCCTACATTTGAGTGGTTGTAATTTGGTTGAGACACTAGCACTCTTTGGTAGAAACAGCTAAAAACTTGTGAAACTACAACTCCTATAGCTTTGAGCCATAAAATGGTGTCAAGCTGCATTACATTTGTAGTGTAACTCTACCCCTACTCCATACATAAACTCTTTATTGGCAAGCTTCTTACAGAATGAGAAACATAAAGTTGGTGGACAGGAAATGAGATTTAAAATGGGCTTAAAGCCAACCTTAAAACTGTGGCATAGACACCGAGAAATGGGAAGCGCTCTAACGGGAGGTCAGCTGTGACCAGCAGTGCTGCAGAATTTGAAGAGGGAGAAACGTGCCAAGAGGAAGGTGCATCAAGCCAAGCCTGACCGGTACCACCTTCCACCTGGAAACTGATGTTCTCACTGCAGGAGAACAAGTGGATCAAGAATAGGGCTCCACAGCCACCTATGAAGCTACCGCCAAGACACCAGACTTGGAGGACCATCATCCTTGGGCTACGAGGGCTCACCTAAGTAAGTCTTACAGTTATATCTAAACTGGTCCTGAAGTAATAGTAATTCAAATATCACAAACCATCAACTACAGGACTTCACTTTCTAGTGAGTATAAAGTTCCACACAATGACCCACATTTGCTCCAACAGCCAGAAAAAGATGAAAAAAGAGGTTTATAGCACCCTGGGCTTCCACATTTGATCAACTGAAATCCAAAACAAGAGGGAGCAATTCAAGGAAGGTCAATATCAATTAAAAATAAGAATAATGCATTTAAGAGTGAACCTCCTTCCATAAGTGATACTCATTTGTTATGGCAAAGCTTTGCCCTGTAGACCATGACTGGCTGGTCAAAAGTACAGAGAGCTGTTGGCAGAAAAGGTAAGCCATCAAATTTGGATATTTCCATTTTTCTTGGCACCTTTTCAGTTTGTCCGCTAAGAAATAGGGAGCTTACGTTGTTTTAGAGTTGTATGGGGAAATCTCCTTAGGTCGAGCTTTAAAATTTTTGCTAGGAATCTCTTGCTGAGTCAGAGATAACACTCCACCAAGAATAAGATCCCCATCTTGGTAGTAGCCCTCTGTGTAGGTTCTGTCCAAATCACACATTGTCCTTGCCATCCTACCAGCAGCATGTGGGAGAAGTAATGTGATGAAGAGCAGAGAACACATGGCAGAAGGATATAATAATAATAATAATAATAATAATAATAATAATAATAACAACAATGTTTTATTTGTATCCCGCCTCCTCTCCCAAAAGGGACTCAGGGTGGCTTACAACAAAAATAAAATATACATAGTAATAATCAGAAACCAAAGCAACACAAATCTTCAGATGATGATAACTCAGATATCAACCCCTGGTTAGAAGGATCGTCCTCTTCTGAAGCTCTGCTCCTCTGGATGTGACATGCAAGACAGTGGCCAACAATGAAACTCATTCTCTGTTCCAAGCATCTCTTGTAAGAGACTCTGTTCTAATGACAGATACATATCTGTAGAAAATCTCAATCATAACTATTGTTAGTTTTTGTTTCAGAGCGTAACCCACAGCCAAGCATAATCATAGTCATTGCTCTAATCCCCTATTGTCCTCTGCGCTGTAGTTCTCTGCTGCTCCCCAGTTGGGGTTATTGACATTATACAAAGGTGGCAAATATTTTTTGTACTGCCTGTTTCACTTAGTGGTGAGCACTGATTGTATGCTGTGCTTTTTCTAAATGCACACATGTCAAAAGCACCATCCTGTAGTTTGCCCTTCCGCTAGGACCTCTTGCTTCCTCTTGGCTGTTTTATTGATGTTACTTACTTACTTACTTACTTACTTACTAAGGTGATCTCTCGTTATCCAAGTAGGATAGTCTTCCAAAGTCAGTGTACTGGTGGGTCCGTAGGTGACTGTGGAGCCCTATTCTTGATCCACATCTTCTCCCGCAGTGAGGGCATTGGTTTCCAAGTGGAAGGCGGTCTCGGTCGGATTGGCTTGATGCGCCTTCCTCTTGGCACATTTCTCTCTTTCACCCTTCATTCGTGCCTCTTCAAATTCTACAGCACTGCTGGTCACAGCTGACCTCCAGCTGGAGCGCTCAAGGGCCAGGGCTTCCCAGTTCTCAGTGTCTATGCCAGAGTTTTTAAGCCCACCTTTAAATCTCTTTTCCTGCCCACCAACATTCCGTTTTCCGTTCTTGAGTTTAGAGTAGAGCAACTGCTTTGGGAGACGGTGGCCAGGCATCCGGACAATATGGCCAGTCCAGTGGAGTTGATGGCGGAGGACCATCGCTTCAATGCTGGTGGTCTTTGCTTCTTCCAGCACGCTGACATTTGTCCGCTTGTCTTCCCAAGAGATTTGCAGGATTTTCCAGAGGCAGCGCTGATGGAATCGTTCCAGGAGTTGCATGTAATGACGTCTGTAAACAGTCCACGTCTCACAGGCGTATCAAATGGTTGGAAGGACAATAATTTTATAAACAAGCATCTTGGTGTTAAATTCAACATTTAAATATAGAATCATAGAGTTGGAAGAGACTCTGTGCGCCATCCAGTCCAACTCCCTGCCAAGAACCAGGAAAATAACATTCAAAGCACCCCCAATAGATGGCCATCCAGCCTCTACTTAAAAGCCTCCAAAGAATGAACCTCCACCATACCCCAGGGCAGAGTGTTCCACTACTGAACAGTTCTCTCAGTCAGGAAGTTCTTCCTCATGTTAAGGTGGAATCTCCTTTCCTGTAGTTTGAAGCCATTGTTCCGTGTCCTAGTCTCCAGGGCAGCAGAAAACAAGCCTGCTCCCTCCTCCCTATGACTCCCCCTCACATATTATACATGGCCTTCATCATGTCTTCTCTCAGCCTTCTCTTCTTCAAGCTAAACATGCCCACCTCTTTAAGCCACTCCTCACAGGGCTTGTTCTCCAGACCCTTGATCATTTTAGTTGCCCTTCTATGGACACATTCCAGCTTGTCAACATCTCCCTGCAATTGTGGTGCCCAAAACCGGATACAGTATTCCAGGTGTGGTCTGACCAAGGCAAAATAGAGGGGGAGTTTGACTTCCCTGCATCTAGACACTAGACTCCTACATATGCAGGCCAAAATCCCATTGGCTCATGTTCACCTTCCTTTCCACTAGGACTCCAAGATCTTTTTCATACATACTGTTCTTGAGCCAGGAGTCCCCCACTCTGTATCGCTGCATTTTATTTTTTCTGCCTAAGTGGAGTATTTTGCATTTGTCCCAGTCAAACTTCATTTTGTTAGTTTTGGTCATTCATCTCTCTAATCTGTTAAGATCATTTTGAATTCTGCTCCTGTCTTGAGATATTGGCTATCCCTCCCAATTTGATGTCATCTGCAGACTTGATGATCATGCCTTCTAATCCTTCATCTAAGTCATTGATAAAGATGTTGAACAGAACCGGGCCCAAGACGGAACCCTGCGGCACTCCGCTCGTCACTTCTTTCCAGGATGAAGAGGAAGCATAGAACATGTTGCTTTCCTTCTCTCCACATGTACCAAATCAGGGACTTAATTTATAAACAACAAAGGAGTACACTTATGAACAATTCTTACACATCACACCAAATGACTGTCTAGGAGAGGACCTACACTAATACAATAAACCAGGGCCAGTCAGGCATGCCTTATGCTGGATGAGCCCCAGCATGGATCAGGCAAGTAAGTGTTGCAAACAGTAAGGAAAAGTTTTCAATTAATAAAAAGTAAAGATGCACTGTGAAATTACTAGCCTTTTCCTATTTTGTGCATTCTGCAAAGAGGGAATGTACTTTTGATTGGTAAACCTTGTTTGGGGCTCCACAGGCATGCGCAAACTTTATTTTTTGCCAAACAGACAGAGGAAGTATTGCAAACAGTAAGAAAATACTCAATCACGAGCGGGAAATCCCTATCAGTGCCTGAATTATGCTATCAGTGCCTAATTCAACTAACTGGGCAGTTATCTGAATTTTTTTAAAAAGCAGAAGCAAACAAGGCAAAAGCAGGAAGCAAGTTCTTGCTTTGCAACCAGCGGTATTCTTGGGCTGCGTGCTTGAAGTAACAAGCAAGTCTGGAGATGGGAAAGTGAAGTAATTGAAAGTGATGCCTTCAAGACTCCCACAGTCACATGTCACTGTCCCCAAACTTGCTGCAGAAACTCTTTGAACTTATGGCAGGATTGGAAGAAGATCTTTAGAAAACATTGATAAAGTCAACAGAAGACATTTAACTCTTTGAGATGCTTTCTGAAGCCTAAAAACAAGAGTTTCCCATTTATGAAAAAATACAGCTCACAAATAACTTTAAGATTGCTTTGAGGTGGCTTGACAATGACATATGACTTCATCAGAATGTATTTTTTTATTTGTTTATTTAAAGCATTTATATTCCACCCTTCTCACCCCGCAGGGGACTCAGAAGCACAACATATATACGGCAAACATTCAATGCCAGGACATAAAACCATAAATATATACAAACATTAAAATCACTTATATTCACATTAAAAGTTGCTTAAAAACCATCTCAGGACACCATTTCGCCTCTGCACTGCCCCAAAGGAAACGGAGATCCAAACACCTGATGAAGTCACATATCATTGTCATACCACCTTGAAACACTTGGAAACGGAGCCCCATGGGAGTCCCATAGAGGCCATCACATGATGTAAAGTGGCAGGCTCAAACCCAGAACCTAAACCAATGGCTGACACCAAATGAGAGACTCGCCCTGGGCACACAGAGGACTGGGCGACTTGGAAGGCGTTGAACAGACTGTGCTCTGGCACCAGGAGATGCAGAGCCAACCTTCAGAAATGGGGCTACAAAGTGGAATCCTCGACATGCGAGTGTGGAGAGGAGCAAACCACTGACCACCTGCTGCAATGCAACCTGAGCCCTGCCACATGCACAATGGAGGACCTTCTTGCAGCAATACCAGAAGCACTCCAAGTGGCCAGATCCTGGTCAAAGGACATTTAATCAACTACCAAATTCACAAATTATGTATTTTGTCTGTTTGTTTGCTTTGTTCTGTTAGAAATGTAATATAATTTGACTGGTTGTCTTGACACGACAAATAAATAAAATAAATAGGGTACTTCTGGTGGGACTCAATGGGCCTCAGTTTTCACAGAACATGGAAACAGAGCCCTAAACAACTTCTGATGAAGCCATATTTCATTGTCATACCACCTTGAAGTACATGGAAACAAAGCCCCATCGGAGTCCCATAGGCCATCACATGATGTAAGGGTAATTCTGGTGAGACTCCGTGGGGCACTGTTGCCACAGCACATAGAAATGGAGCCCTAAACAACTTTTGATGCAGTCATATTTCATTGTCATACCACCTTGAAGCACAGGGAAATGGAGCCCCATGGGAGTCCCATAGAGGCCATCACATGATGTAAGGGTACTTCTGGTGGTACTCCGTGGGGCTCAGTTTCCACAGCACATGGAAACAGATCCCTACACCTGTCTCCAAGAGTCAGATGTTATCCACCTCCAAAAGAAGAAAAATGGGAGATGGGTAGGGGGTGTGCACATCTACACAGTAAGGATGTGGGATAGCTGGCCATCCCACAAGATAGAGAAAGAAATTAAGCAATGGTGTAAGACAGTTCGCTCTGCTTTCCTCATGCTCATGGAATGAAGTCCCTAGTGCAGTGGTGAGTATTTCAATTCATTGTTAAAGTGTTCATAATTCATGCTGCAAGCCTCATGTGATTATTGTCTTACTGATACCTCAGAACCCTCACCAAAGTATGAGAAACAGCAAACATTTATTTATTTATTTATTATATTTATATCCCACCTTCATCTAAGTCATTAATAAAGATGTTGAACAGGACCGGGCCCAGGACAGAACCCTGCGGCACTCCACTTGTCACCCACTTGTCACACGTGTCCAACTCTGGGGGTTGATGCTCATTTCAATTTCTAAGCTGAAGAGACGGAGTTGCCTGTAGACACCTCCAAGGTCATGCGGCTGGCATGACTGCATGGAGTTTTGTTACCTTCCCGCCAGAGTGGTACCTATTGATCTACTCACATTTGCATGTTTTTGAACTGCTAGGTTGGCAGAGGCTGGGGCTAACAGCAGTAGCTCACCCTGCTCCCCGGATTCGAACCGCCAACCTTTTGGTCAGCAAGTTCAGCAGCTCAGTGATTTCACCTGCTGCACCACTGGGGGACTCCAACCAGATGGTTATGGTATCTAACCCTTCATATGCTGTTCCTATTTTTGTACATTCCCACGAATGTACAAAACCTTCCATGATTGCCTCCTGCATAAGGCAAATAGAAAGTACTTAGGCAGATTCAAATATCCTAAATTCCTGGGTGAAATGCGTCTATCTCTTAGGTTCATTGGCCTGCCAACCCCCCTTCCCCAAACCTCAGTTTCAAGTTAAAATCCAATCATTGGAGATTTGGGTTTAAAAAGATATAGGGAACGCCTAACAAATAACAATTTAACTCAGTAAGAATGCCGGGTACCTTTCTATGTTTTTAACCTGAATGTCATCTTGACCTAAGGTCAAAAGAAGCAAAATTATTGCTGGATTGTAAACCAAGTATATTACTCATTAGAGGAACTGAGGACAGGGACAGGGAAGTATAATTCAACTCTCCAGGAAGAAAAATGCACTCAATTTTACAATACGAACCCATCATCATCAACAACACAAACAAGAATTGTACTTTTCCCTTACATGAGCCCATTGTGTATTTTGTATAAAACCAGAATCAAGGATTCCACACTAAATATCCTGCTGAATAAACGTATATCTAAGTCGACTCTTGCCCGACTTTCCTTATAGAACTTGGGTCTAGAAGGGATTTATAAGGTCAGATAGCTCACTGATAATCATCTGTTGAAATGCTAGGGAATTGCTACTTCCTGCAGTTTAGATATTGCTGGTGTTCAGCACAGTGCCAGCACTGTGTCAAATCTGTTGTAGAGGAAGAGGCCAGAAAACAGAGCAGTTCCACCCAGGTCTTCTTCGGCCTGACTGGTCTTCTTGTGAGTAGACTGCAACCCCAGGCACATTCCATCTGGATGTGACCTAGGGCCCTTCCACACAGCCATATAACTCAGACTATCAAGGCAGAATAACCCACACTCAGATAATGTGGGATTTTCTGTCTTGATATTCTGGGATATAGGGCTGTGTGGAAGGACTCTCAGCAATCTCCAAGGAGGGAGTAATATAAACACATTAGGTGGATACTGGTTGCTCTGGGACTGTTACAATAGCTGTTGATAAGAGAGCTAGCTGAAGAACTGGGTAGTAATGAGAGGGCTACCCAGAACCATCTAGTTGGCTACTATGGGCCCTTCCATACAGTCCTATATCCCAGAATATCAAGGCAGAAAATCCCACAATAACTGCTTTGAACTGGGTTATCTGAGTCCACACTCAGATAATGTGGGATTTTCTACCTTGATATTCTGGGATATAGGGCTGTGTAGGAGGCCCCAAGGCAGAGTCCTAGTGAGGGCAGGGTTCTCCTGGACTAGCTAACTAATCAGTCTAGGGCCCTTCCACACAGCCCTGTATCCCAGAATATCAAGGCAGAAAATCCCACAATATCTGCTTTGAACTAGATTATCTGAATCCACACTCAGATAATGTGGGATTTTCTGCCTTGATATTCTGAGATATAGGACTGTGTGAAAGGGCCCCCTGTGGACTGTGTGTTAAGTGTTGTTGTATTAATGTCTTACGATGTGTCTTTTTTTGTTTTCAATTGAGATAATCACCAGATTTATCAATGTTTTCTAAAGATCTTTTTCCAATTTACTCACTCTATGTCATCCCTATTCCACCCACAATTTCTGTAAAAACCTACTCTTCAAGCATGACACTTAAGTCTGTTGTGTCTGCCACACATTGTACACCAAGGGCCCTTCCACACAGCCCTATATCCCAGAATATCGAGGCAGAAAATCCCACATTATCTGAGTGTGGACTCATAACCCAGTTCAAAGCAGATATTCTGGGATTTTCTGCTTTGATATTATGGGATATAGGGCTGTGTGGAAGGGCCCCAAGAGAACTTGGGAAATGTTCTTCAAAAGCAGACCCAATAATGGAGATACCATTAGTTGTGTCATTTGGTTTAGTTGCAAAACCACAAACCATCCTACTTTCTTCTAGAAGATATTGACTCTGCTTTTGTTTGCATTTGGGTTCAACCCTGATCTCGTTCCGCATGGCTTCGTGTCCTACCCTATTTTTCCTCTCCGCATGGCTACCTGGTTAAACCAGGTGTGGAATGGTAAGAACTTGGCACATACAGGACACCTGCAGTTTGACCTTGGGGTGAAAATAAAACAGGAATCAAAGGGCTGAGCCAAAAAATTTACATTGCGTTTTATTAATTGCCGAACCCGCCTGCTATTTTAAAAGAACGGACGGACACTTCACCAGGCAGCCTTGCCACCATGGAAGTCACCAAGCTGTTGGCTACCTTTCTGTTTCTGCAGCTGTCTTTTGGTAAGAGCCTCCAATGTCATGGTAGCAATTATGTGAAACTAGGGTGGATGTATATGTATGAAGAGTTTGTATGCATTGTTTCTTTTTATTCCACCTGGAGTTATTTGTGTGAATATTTGTATAGCAGCTTGTGTGTAAGTGGCCCATATATTTAGCATAAGGGCTGAATCTCTTTTCATTCTAAATTCAGTTCCAGAGAGCTATATTGATGGATGATTCCACAGGCAGAAGCACAAATGCAAAAATACCAGTATAGCTTTGTTTTTTGCTCTTACTGTAAATAACTAAGCATTTGGAGAGACATTCCAAATTTTTAGATGCAGGTGGTTGAGCAAAAGCTGTGGAACCACTGGTGATAGTCTAATGGTGAGGGGAACATGGCCACTTTGAGATCCCAGGAGGACAGACTGGAGTTTTCCCACCCTTGTTTTACAGTCTGACATTTCTTCTGAGCTGCATATTATCTGGTTTCTGGAAGGAATTTGTGAATGACATATGGTAAGCTGATAGGTCTGCCATCAGTGCTAAGACTAATTGCAAATTTCTACTGGAGGAATCTCAACTTTGCCTCAAGGCATTCTTCTTCTTGAAGAAGTCCAAATAGTACACACATCATATGTACACACACCATATGTACACACACCATGGCCAGCACCTTCCCTCACCTGCTGTTATCTAGATGTGTTGGGTTATGTGTGCGTCCATGTCTTCAAGACAGCTGTCAAAATATGGCAACCAAATGAATTTCACAAAGTTTTCTTAGGCAAGGAATATTTGCCAGTTCCTTCCTCTGAAATAAAGCCAACAGCACCCGGTATTTCCTGGTAGTTTTCCATCCAACTACTAATCAGAACTAACCACAATTAGCTTCCAAGATCAGGTGGTAACTTGTGCCTTTTGGGTAGTTAGGTGATTATATACTTTCAGAGATTCCCCAGTCAGCTAGCTGTGACATTAGGAAGATTGAAGTCAAGTATGTCTGGAGGACTGTTGCCTGGGAAAGACTATTTTGACAATAATTGCTGTTCCATCCAGGCATGAATTCTTGCTTTCCTCTCCCCACATCCTTCACAGTCATGGTGCCTGCTCTCACCCCTGACAGATGACTATCCAGCCTCTGCTTAAAAGCCTCCAAAGAAGGAGCCTCCACCACGCTCCGTCAGAGAGTTCCACTGCTCCGTAGTCCTGTGCTGATCTTGCCATTGGCTCCACTCAAGATGGGCTTCCATTGCAATTTCAAATGGGATATTTGAGTTCATGCATTTATGATGATGGCATTGGGAAGCTCTATATACGTCAGAGTTGCACTTTCCTCTAAAAGTGTTGAACTTCCACAGACTTTTTTTTTAAAAAGTACCTCACAACTTCTGAGGATGCCTGCCATAGATATGGGCAAAACGTCAGGAGATAATGCTTCTGGAACATGGCTATACAGCCCGGAAAACTCACAACAACCCAGAAACTGTATTGATCTATTTTCTTTTAAGACCAAATATACACAGGAAAACCATGAATAAAATACATGGTTGTCCTATATGTGCTGTCACACGCTGGGCCTGTGGATAAGACTATAGACAGGACATAAATTATGTGTGGCCAACGGGACGCCGGGGCTGCCTCAGATTAAAGCCCCTTGGATTTCCTTAAAACAGAGTCTTTAGATTGCTTAAAGGTTCAACAATGTTCTTTATTAATGAAAACATACAGGAACTTTAAAGCTTTCTTAACAGTCTATTGGCTCTCTCTCAATCTTGTCCACAGGGAACAGGCACTATCTTCATAAACTGTATTTTAGCTAATAGGGAAATCCTTAACTTCTAATCTGGGCAGTCTGTCTTTGCCTCTGTTGGCACAGAGCCCCTGCACCCGGTACCAACTGCGTCTGGCTTCCGCGAGCTTTGTAGACTTCCAGGGAAAAAGGAGTTCAGGTTTCAGTGATAGCTGATTGAAATCCCTCAGCAAAGGAGCTGTAAGGCTGTATATCTTCCGGCCAAGCTGTGGGGCTGTATCTCCGCGGCCAAGCCGTAGAAGACGAAGCTTTCTACAGGAGCTCTTTGTATTATGTCCTGCATGAAAGGCTTCTGTGTGTGGACTGAACCCAAAAAGGCTCCTATTCCCTCCAAAAATCCAAAGGGGGCGGGACCAGGGAACCTAACTATAATTGACAGGTGGCTTGCCCTATGATTGCAGCCAAAAGAAGCCACCTATCTGCAGAGTCCCTGAAACTTGGGACTACAACAAACATTCAATGCAAAGTGAACAAAATTGGAGCTCCTGGTACAGTTGTACCTGCACACTATATCTTAATAGTAAATATGTGTTCCCATGTGTATGTATGTGCCTTCAAATTACTTATTAACCTATGTTGACCCCATGAAATTAATAGGATTTTCTTAGGCAAAGTTTGCTCAGAAGAGGCCGGGTTAGTCCCTTCCTCTGAAACACAGCCTGAGATAATCCAATGTAATTGGAGGAGAGATGCTGTTGTGTATTTAAGCATTTTGGATTGTGTTTCATGGTGCATTTTGTTGGTCTGTGTTGCAGCATTGCGATTTCATAACCGGATAATTGGAGGCCAAATATGTGCTGAGACTGAGCATCCTTGGCTCGTGTGGATCTCTGACTCCAAAAGGCTCTACTGTTCAGGAGTAGTGATCAATCAAGACTGGGTTCTCACTGCTGCTCACTGCTATGTAAGGTGAGAATTGTTACCAGTTGGAAATGTTTGGCAATGCTTTTGTCAGCTTTGCCCCAGAGCCTAGAAAAATCACTTGCTTTGATCTAGACTGTCAAAACGTTGGCAGGAGGATTCTGGGATGTTTCATTTAACATGTGAAGAAAATGCATTATACAACCTCTCCCAGGCAAAACTTGGGAAAATGTATGTTTTGGTGTGCAGCTTTCCCCTTACTCTGTGTTTCTTGGGGTTGTGAGAGGGGCTGCAGACCACATGATCAGATCTTACACTCCATTTTAGAACACAGAGATGCTATTAGACTTTGAACTGTTAAGAGCAAACTCATGTTGCTGTTGATTATAAGAAAGATGCCTTGTGTTATCTGCACAGAGAAACTACTTCAAACCAATCAATGCTGAATACATGAAGGTTGTGAGTAAACCAGATATGTTACTTTTAATGAAATCTACTTTATTTTTTGTCTCTTGAGAGCATGATATAGTAACAAGATGTTTTATGGGAGAGTAGATGATTTTGGGCACTGAAAATAACACTTCTGAAGAATTGCTATATTTTGTGCATTGGCATAATCTCTGTTCCTAACAGATCAGAAACAACCAAGTTATCAGTCTAACAACCGAAAACCAAATTGCCTTGCATAAGAACATGTGGATATATACGATTGAAGAGAAGATTTTACTCAAACAAGTTTTTGGCTCTTCTCTTGAAGATCATACTTTTACAAAAGGTTGTGATTTTCAAATGGTTGTGAGTGCCATTTTTCTCCAAAAGGTTATGGACATTCTAGTTTTCCAAAAGGTTATGATTTCTAAAAGGTCATGCCTTTCAAAAAATAATATCTAACACTTGAGACTGATATCCCATCTACGCTGATAATTTAATACAGCTTCAAACTGGTTTTGCTGTGCAGGTGATTACATCGGAAATCTGAGAACACATTGATGTGCATTAAAGGTTTTCTTTTGCACACTTTTATGTTACTTTGTTGTCTGGTTGCCACCATTTGAAGTGAGCTTTGAATTGCATTAAATCAGTGGTTCTCAACCTTCCTAATACTATGACCCATTAATACAGTTCCTCATGTTGTGGTGACCTCCAACCATAAAATTATTTTCATTGCTACTTCATAACTGTCATTTTTGCTACTGTTGTGAATCACGATGTAAATATCTGCTATGCAGGATGTATTTTCATTCACTGGACCAAATTTGGCACAAATATCCGATACACCCAAATTTGAATACTGCTGGGGTTGGGCGGGTCATTGATTTTGTCATTTGGGAGTTGTAGTTGCTGGGATATATGGTTAATCTACAATCAAAGAGCTTTCTGAACCCAACCAATGATAGAATTGAAACAAATTTGGCACACAAAACTCTCATGACCAACAGAAAATACTGGAAGGGTTTGATGGGCATTGACCTTGAGTTTGGGAGTTATAGTTCACCTGCATCCAGAGAGCACTGTGGACTCAAACAATGATGGATCTGGACCAAACTTGGCACAAATACTCAATACAGCCGAATATGAATACTATCAGTGTTTGGGGAAAATAGACCTTGACATTTGGGAGTTGTCGTTGTTGGAATTTATAGTTCACCTACACTCAAAGAGCATTCTGAACCCCACCAATGATAGAATTGGGCCAAATTTCCCACACTGAACCCCTATGACCAACAGAAAATACTGTATTTTCTGATGGTCTTTGGCGACCCCATAGACACCCCTTATGCCTCCCCCGGGGTCCTGATCCTCAGGTTGAAAAACTTTGCATTAAATGTTCAGCGCAGATGGGTCCTAAGAGACAGACCTCGAAAGTTTGGAACCCAATTCCAAACCTATTGTTGGATTAGACTGGCCATGCAGATTTGGGGTTCGGAGAGCTGAAATTCAAACATATGGCAAGCCAAGGATAGGAAGAACTAAGATAAGGAACCTACCTACCTGTGCACTGTTTCAAGAGCTCTGTAATGTCTTTGCTCTCTCTTTGTAGCTCTGGAATGCAGTTGAAGTTTGGACTACACAACAGAGAGGTGCCAAGAGAGGGAGTGCAGTTAAGAACCAGCACAGAGGCCAAATGCTATCCGGATACTGCCAGCTCTGACTCCAACAGCTGTGCACGTTCCACCATCAGAGATGATATCATGCTGGTCAAACTGAATGCCCCTGTTGACTACAATGACAACGTTCAACCTGCAATCCTGCCCACTACTGTACCCGAAGAGGGAACAGAATGCAAAATGATGGGCTGGGGCTCCATCACATCTCCTGAAGGTAAGACGTGGTTGCACATGGTTCTTTGCATTGTCAGGTGTTTGTCTGATTCCAGAACAGAGCTGGATACCCGCCTATGAGCTCTTTCACACTACACAATTATAGTACTTTAATGCTACTTTAACTGCATGGCTCCAACCGATGGCATCCCAGCATTTGTACTTTTATGAAGTATGTTAAATCCTCTTACAGAGAGTTCTAGAGGCTCTCCAGACTACAGGAATCCGTTGGATGGGACCATGGCATTTAAAAGTTTAATCCTTCTCTGTCTCTACACACTTCAAAGATGGTTCAAAGACGGATTCCCACTGAACATGCTTAATTTGAAGGGCTCCATAATCCTGGAAGTGGACATTTTGCATGTCTAACCTTTGAAAAATACAGACATCTCCATCCATTACAAAATAGAGCCATTGCAAAGTTCTTACTGTGCCCCCCCTTTTTTTCTCCAGGGACTTATCCTCTTGTTCCTTACTGTGTTTACATTGAAATATTCAACGATCAGGTGTGTGAAGCGGCTTACGAACCTTGGTGGAAAACAAATGGTAAAGTGCTGTGTGCTGGAGTTCTGGACGGAGGCAAGGATTCATGTCATGTAAGGATCTTTCCTTTGGAGGTAGACTTTCTAAGAAACATAGTTTTTTTCTGAAATACAGGCGTAGATGTTCAATTCGTAAGTCTCTAGAATCAGTATTAAGAAAAAGTGCTGCTTTGGATTATAGCTCTCAGAGTCCCCAATCCACCGTTTTGAGAGATGGAATCCAAATATTTTTTTATGCTCTGTCCAACATTTCATTTGACCTACTTTGTAACTGGAATTCACCTGATGGAGACATATTCACAAACAAAAACAGGCAAGTGTACAAGCATTAAAGTGGCAAGAAATGGTTTCTCTTCAGATCGTATCTATATACATAGGTCAAGACTTTAAATAGAATGTAAAAATAGAATTTCGGTTGCTGTGAGTTTTCCGGACTGTATGGCCATGTTCCAGAAGCATTCTCTCCTGAAGTTTCACCTGCATCTATGGCAGGCATCCTCAGAGGTTATGAGGTCTGTTGGAAACTAGGAAAATTGGGTTTATATATCTGTGGAATGTCCAGGGTGGGAGACAGCACTCTTGTCTGTGTGAGCTAGGTGTGAAGGTTTCAATTGGCCACCTTGATTAGCATTGAATAGCCTTTCAGCTTCAAGGTCTGGCTGCTTACTGCCTGGGGAATCCTTTGTTAGGAAGTAGTAGCTGGCCCTGGTTGATTTGTGTCTGGAATTCCTCTGTTTTCTGTTCTTTATTTACTGTCTATTATTTAGGTTCTAGAAAAAGACTTGATGGATTACACTGGTCACCGAGTGGATTTCCATGGCTGAGTGGAAAATCAAACCCTAGTCTCCAGAGTCACAGTTCAATACTCAGGCCAATGGCTCTCAAGAATTTAGATAATTCTAAATGCCACCCCATAAGCCACAAATCCTAGGATTCTGTAGAATGCATTCGTGATACCGAAAGCAGAATAATAAAAATGCTGTATATAGTTTACTATGTCCCTTACAGTAAATCATATTTAAACATTATTGTTTATTATTGTTTAAATGTGTCATCTTACTGAGAGCTTCCTTGAGCTTCATTTCTGAGAGGAAACTGATATAGACCCAACATCTATAGGTATGTATCTGTCTAAATGCCTGTTCTGTTCTCTCCACAGGGTGATTCTGGAGGACCCCTGATGTGCGGTGACGAACTTCAAGGCATCCTCTCTTTTGGAAGCTATCCTTGTGCTAAACCCCTTGAGCCTGGTGTTTATGCCAAGGTCAAGAGTTACCTTTTTTGGATCCAGAGCATTATTTCAGAAAATACACCAGAAACCGCTTGAATTAAATCAGTGGACATCCCACTAGCGTCTCCCTGCAGTCGTAAAATCTATATGCATATCTTCCTGGGAGCAATCCTCTTTGGACACTCTGGAACTTACTTCAAAACAACAATGGAAAGGATGGTATAGTAGCACCCTAGATCCTTATAGCTTCCTAGATTGATTGCTCCAGTAGTTTTAGTAAACTGAATGAGAGCTCTTGCCTATGCCAGTTAATAGTCTTGTTCTATTAACATAAATCTCTCTCCCCTTGACCCCCAGCATTAGAATCATAGTCTTAAGGTGAACTTCTAGCTGTAAAAGTTAGAACACGGAAATAAAATAGAGGCTTCAGCATCTCGAAAATTTCATCATTTATGGGTCTACTGCTTGTTTTCTGATCTTGTGGACAGTACACACTGGGAATCATCATCTAGGTTTTTTTCCTTATGGGTGCCCATCCCCATTGGGATTACTTTTAATATCAGTACAGCAGCCTGATTTATTTACTTCTCATATTTACTATCAACCTTCCCTCCAATAAACTCATTACAGTGTTTGTATATACCATACATAGCTCACTTCCTAAGCATTTTCAGAACACTAAAGAATGTTGTAACTCAAAGTGTTACTTCTTTCTTTTTGACCATATGAAGTTCTTTTGTGCTGTGATGTTTAATAGGTCTGAGGTGCTTTCTTTTTTCATGAAGAAAACAAAGTAGGTGAAATGATCAGGCAGTAGGCAGAAAAGGTCAGGTTGAAACAGAACGACTGGTTCAAGCTCACCCAGTGAGTTTCATGACTGAATAGGTACCAAAACCTTATTTACTTAGGTGATCCCTTGTTGTCCAAATAAGATTGTCCTCCAAGTTCGGTGTCCTGGTGGTGGGTACATAGGTGAGTCTGGAGCCCTATTCTTGACCGGCATGTTCTCCTGCAGTGAGGGTATCGGTTTCCAGGTGGAAAGTGGTCCCAGTCGGGGTTGGCTTGATGCGCCTTCTTCTTGGCACGTTTCTCTCTTTCGCCCTCCATTTGTGCCTCTTCAAATTCTACAGCACTGCTGGTCACAGCTGACCTTCTGTTAGAGCTCTCAAGGGCCAGGGCTTCCCAGTTCTCGGTATCTATAACACAGTTTTTGAGGTTGGCTTTAAGCCCATCTTTAAATCTCTTTTCCTGTCCTCCAACATTCCATTTTCCGTTCTTAAGTTCAGAATAGAGCAACTGCTTTGGGTCAGGCATCCGGACAACGTGGCCAGTCCAGCGGAGTTAATGGTGGAGGACCATCACTTCAGTACTGGTGGACTTTGCTTCTTCCAGCACTCTGATATTTGTCCACCTGTCTTCCCAAGAGATTTGCAGGATTTTTTGGAAACCAGTCAAATACTAACCACTGCAGTTATTAATCATCTTCTGTAAAACAGAGGAGCAAGTTCAGAGACCCTTTTGTATAGAATGTTATGTCATGAAGTGAACAACTTATTCATGCACAGAAGGTATCTAGGTATGACTACTTGGATCTACGTCCTAGGTTTAGTGTTTTTATTTCGCGTGTAAGGGCAGCCAGTCAATTATATTACATTTCTAACAGAACAAAGCAAACAAACAGAGAAAATACAAAATGTGTGAGTTTGGTAGTTGATTAAATGTCCTTTGACCAGTATCTGGCCACTTGGAGTGCTTCTGGTGTTGCTGCAAGAAGGTCCTCCATTGTGCATGTGGCAGGGCTCAGGTTGCATTGCAGCAGGTGGTCAGTGGTTTGCTCTTCTCCACGCACTCGCATGTCGAGGATTCCACTTTGTAGCCCCATTTCTGAAGGTTGGCTCTGCATCTCGTGGTGCCAGAGCGCAGTCTGTTCAGCGCCTTCCAAGTCGCCCAGTCCTCTGTGTGCCCAGGGGGGAGTCTTTCATTTGGTATCAGCCATTGGTTGAGATTCTGGGTTTGAGCCTGCCACTTTTGGACTCTCGCTTGCTGAGGTGTTCCAGCGAGTGTCTCTGTAGATCTTAGAAAACTATGTCTTGATTTAAGTCGTTGACGTGCTGGCTGATACCCAAACAGGGGATGAGCTGGAGATATCTCTGCCTTGGTCCTTTCACTATTGGCTGCTACTTCCCGGCGGATGTCAGGTGGTGCAATACCGGCTAGACAGTGTAATTTCTCCAGTGGTGTAGGGCGCAGACACCCCGTGATAATGCGGCATGTCTCATTAAGAGCCACATCCACTGTTTTAGTGTGGTGAGATGTGTTCCACACTGGGCATGCATACTCAGCACAGCGCAAGGGCAGATGTTTTCACTGTATCTGGTTGTGATCCCCAGGTTTAGTGGTGCTAGTTCCTCAGTAAAACTTCATAGGAATATATTGTTGAAGGCTTCAGAGGAATGCTTGTACAATCTCCAGCAGTCAAATTTTTGGAACTTGATTACTTTTTTAAATTAGTTTACTATATGTTCCTTTTTAATAAGAAGAGAACTTAAAAAGCAAATCCTAGTAAATTCAATTGATCTTGCTCCCAAGTCATTAAAACTGCTCAAACTACTTTCTCCTTCATCAAAGGTAGTGAACTATTGTAACCTATGGTAACCTATGGATGCAAGAGCTAGACCATAAGGAAGGCTGAGCAAAGGAAGATAGATGTTTTTGAACTGTGGTGCTGGAGGAAATTTCTGAGAGTGCCGTGGACCGCGGGAAGATCAAACCAGTACATCCTCCAGGAAACAATGCCCAACTGCTCACTGTAAGGAAGGATATTAGACGCAAAGATAAAGTACTTTGGCCACATAATGAGAAGACAGTTAGGTAATTGTAAAGGTTTTCCCCTGACATTAAGTGCAGTCATGACCGACTCTGGGGGTTGATGCTCATCTTCATTTCTAAGCTGAATAGCCGGAGTTGCCTGTAGACACCTCCAAGGTCATGTGGCTGTCATGACTGCATGGAGTGCCGTTACCTTCCCGCCAGAGTGGTACCTATTGATCTACTCACATTTGCATGTTTTTGAACTGCTAGGTTGGCAGAAGCTGGGGCTAACAGCAATAGCTCACCCTGCTCCCCGGATTCGAACCACCAACATTTTGGTCAGCAAGTTCAGCAGCTCAGTGATTTCAGCTGTTGCACCACTGGGCGACTCCAACCAGATGGTTATGGTATCTAAACCTTCATATGCTGTTCCTATTTTTGTACATTCCCACGAATGTACAAAACCTTCCATGATTGCCTCCTGCATAAGGCAAATAGAAAGTACTTGTTGTTGTTCATTCGTTCAGTCGTCTCCGACTCTTCATGACCTCATGGACCAGTACTTAGGCAGATTCAAATATCTTAAATTCCTGGGTGAAATGTTTCTATCTCTTAGGTTCATTGGCCTGCCAACCCCCCTTCCCCACACCTCAGTTTCAAGTTAAAATCCAACCATTGGAGATTTGGGTTTTAAAAGATATAGGGAACGCCTAACAAATAACAATTTAACTCAGTAAGAATGCCGGGTACCTTTCTATTTTTTTTTACCTGGATGTCATCTTGACCTAAGGTCAAAAGAAGCAAAATTATTGCTGGATTGTAAACCAAGTATATTACTCATTAGAGGAACTGAGGACAGGGACAGGGAAGTATAATTCAACTTTCCAGGAAGAAAAATGCACTCAATTTTACAATACGCACCCATCATCATCAACAACACAAACAAGAATTGTACTTTTCCCTTACATGAGCCCATTGTGTCTTTTGTATAAAACCAGAATCAAGGATTCCACACTAAATATGCTGCTGAATAAATGTATATCTAAGTCGACTCTTGCCCGACTTTCCTTTTAGAACTTGGGTCTAGAAAGGATTTATAAGGTCAGATAGCTCACTGATAATCATCTGTTGAAATGCTAGAGAATTGCTATTTCCTGCAGTTTAGATATTGCTGGTGTTCAGCACTGTGCCAGCACTGTGTCAAATCTGTTGTAGAGGAAGAGGCCAAAAAACAGAGCAGTTCCACCCAGGTCTTCTTCGGCCTGACTGGTCTTCTTGTGAGTAGACTGCAACCCCAGGCACATTCCATCTGGATGTGACCTAGGGCCCTTCCACACAGCCATATAACTCAGACTATCAAGGCAGAATAACCCACACTCAGATAATGTGGGATTTTCTGTCTTGATATTCTGGGATATAGGGGTGTATGAAAGGACTCTCAGCAATCTCCAAAGAGGGAGTAATATAAAACACATTAGGTGGATACTGGTTGCTCTGGGACTGTTACAACAGCTGTTGATAAGAGAGCTAGCTGAAGAACTGGGTAGTAATGAGAGGGCTACCCAGAACCATGTAGTTGGCTACTACGGGCCCTTCCACATAGTCCTATATCCCAGAATATCAAGGCAAGAAATCCCATAATATCTGCTTTGAACTGGGTTATCTGAGTCCACACTCAGATAATGTGGGATTTTCTACCTTGATATTCTGGGATATAAGGCTGTGTGGGAGGCCCCAAGGCAGAGTCCTAGTGAGGGCAGGGTTCTCCTGGACTAGCTAACTAATCAGTCTAGGGCCCTTCCACACAGCCCTATATCCCAAAATATCAAGGCAGAAAATCCCACAATATCTGCTTTGAACTGGATTATCTGAATCCACACTCAGATAATGTGGGATTTTTTTTGCCTTGATATTCTGAGATATAGGGCTATGTGAAAGGGCTCCTTGTGGACTGTGTGTTAAGTGTTGTTGTATTAATGTCTTACGATGTGCCTTTTTTGTTTTCAATTGAGATAATCACCAGATTTATCAATGTTTTCTAAAGATCTTTTTCCAATTTACTCACTCTATGTCATCCCTATTCCACCCATAATTTCTGTAAAAACCTACTCTTCAAGCATGACACTTAAGTCTGTTGTGTCTGCCACAAAAAAAAAAAAAAAAAAAAAAAAAAAAAAAAAAAAAAAAAAAAAAAAAAAAAAAAAAAAAAAAAAAAAAAAGAAAGAAAAAAAGAAAAAAAGAAAGAAAGAAAGAAAGAAAGAGCCACACATTGTACACCAAGGGCCCTTCCACACAGCCCTATATCGCAGAATGCTGGATGGATTATGAATTTATGAATTGACAAACGTTGACCACAAGATGATTTTATTGGTGCTGTTGTTTTAATTTGACTGTTTTAATTAGTTATAACTGTTGTCGTTATATTGTAATTTGTATATTGTATTTTGTGAATTGTTGGCCATCGAATTGTGCCTTTTGTAAGCTGCCCTGAGTCCCCCCTAGGGGGTTGAGAAGGGCAGGGTAGAAGCATTCCAAATAAATAAATAGATAAATAAATATTGAGATAGAAAATATTATCTGAGTGTGGACTCATAACCCAGTTCAAAGCAGATATTGTGGGATCTTCTGCCTTGATGTCCTGGGATATAGGGCTGTGTGGAAGGGCCCCAAGAGAACTAATGGAGACACCATTAGTTGTGTCATTTGGTTTAGTTGCAAAACCACAGACCATCCTACTTTCTTCTAGAAGATATTGACTCTGCTTCTGTTTGCATTTGGGTCCAACCCTGATCTCGTTCCGCATGGCTTCGTGTCCTACCCTATTTTTCCTCTCCGAACGGCTACCTGGTTAAACCAGGTGTGGAATGGTGAGAACTTGGCACATACAGGACACCTGCAGTTTGACCTTGGGGTGAAAATAAAACAGGAATCAAAGGGCTGAGCCAAAAAATTTACATTGCATTTTCTTAATCGCCGAACCCGCCTGCCATTTTCAAAGAACGGACGGACACTTCACCAGGCAGCCTTGCCACCATGGAAGTCACCAAGCTGTTGGCTACCTTTCTGTTTCTGCAGCTGTCTTTTGGTAAGAGCCTCCAATGTCATGGTAGCAATTATGTGAAACTAGGGTGGATGTATATGTATGAAGAGTTTGTATGCATTGTTTCTTTTTATTCCACCTGGAGTTATTTGTGTGAATATTTGTATAGCAGCTTGTGTGTAAGTGGCCCATATATTTAGCATAAGGGCTGAATCTCTTTTCATCCTAAATTCAGTTCCAGAGAGCTATATTGATGGATGATTCCACAGGCAGAAGCACAAGTGCAAAAATACCAGTATAGCTTTGCTTTTTGCTCTTACTGAAAATACCTCAGCATTCGAAGAGACAGTCCAAATTTTTAGATGAAGGTGGTTGAGCAAAAGCCGTAGAACCACTGGTGATAGTCTAATGGTGAAAGGGACATGGCCACTTTGAAATCCCAGAAGGATAGGCTGGAGTTTTCCCACCCCTTTCTTACATTCTGACATTTCTTCTGAGCTGCATATTATCTGGATTCTGGTAGGAATTTGTGAATGACATATGGTAAGCTGATAGGTCCGCCATCAGTGCTAAAACTATTTGCAAATTCCTACTGGAGAAATCTCTACTTTGCCTCAAGGCAGTCTTCTTCTTGAAGAAGGCCAAATAGGACACACACCATATATACACACACCATGTCTAGCACCTTCCCTCACCTGCTCCTATCTAGATGTGTAGGGTTATGTGTGTGTCCACGTCTTCAAGACAGCTGTCAAGATATGGCAACCAAATGAATTTCACAAGGTTTTCTTAGGCAATGAATATTCAGAGGTGGCTTTGCCAGTTCCTTTCTCTGAAATAAAGCCTACAGCACCTAGTATTTTCTGGTAGTTTCCCATCCAACTGCAAATCAGAGCTGACCACACTTCGCTTTCAAGATCAGATGGTAACTGGTGCCTTTAGGTGATTATACACTTTCAAAGATTCCCCAGTCAGTTAGCTATGACATTAGGAAGATTGAAGTCAAACATGCCTGTTGCCTGGGAAGGGCTATTTTGATAATAATTGCTGCCCTATCCAGGTATGAATTCTTGCTTTCCTCCCCCCACACCCTTCACAGTCATGATGCCTGCTCTCACACAACTTTCAGTGGTACAATTAGGTACATCTAGACCAGACATGGACAAACTTTGTCTATCCAGGTGTTTGGACTTCAACTCCCACAGTCCCTAACAGCTGGTAAACTTTCTGAGATTTCTGGGAGTTCATAAAATCACAGAATCATAGAGCTGGAAGAGACATTATGGGACATCCAGTCCAACCCCCTACCAAGAAGCAGGAAAATCATATTCAAAACACCCCTGACAGATGGCCATCCAGCATCTGTTTAAAAGCCTTCAAAGAAGGAGCCTTCCACACACTCCAGGGCAGAGAGTTCCACTGCTGAACAGCTCTCACAGTTAGGAAGTTCTTCCTAATGTTCAGGTGGAATCTCCTTTCCTGTAGTTTGAAGCCATTGTTTCTCATCCTAGTCTCCAGGGCAGCAGAAAACAAGCCTCCTCCCTCCTCCCTATGATTTCCCTTCACATATTGATACATGACTTCATGTCTCTTCTCAGCCTTCTCTTCTGCAGGCTAAACATGCCCAGCTCTTTAAATAACTCCTCATAGGGCTTGTTCTTCAGACCTTTGATCATATTTGGTATTTGGACATATTCCAGTTTGTCAACATCTCCCTTCAGTTGTGGTGCCCAGAACTGGACACAGTATTCCAGGTGTGGTTTGACTAAGGCAGAATAGAGGGGTAGCATGACTTCCCTGGATCTAGACACAATACTCCTATTTATGCAGGCCAAAATCCCATTGGCTTTTTTAGCTGGTGCATGACATTGTTGGCTCATGTTTAACTTGTTGTCTACAAGGACTCCAAGATGTTTTTCACTCATGGTGCTGTTGTGTGAAAAAGTTGAAGTCCAAAACACCTGGAAGGCCAAAGTTTGCCCATGCCTGGTCTAGACTGTGGAAAGTATACTTGCCTCATTCCCTTCATGTGGTCTTAGGAGGGAGCAGGGCTGGGTTCAGTAGATGGTAATATGTCTTACTTCCCTGACCTCAAAACTTGGTGATCCAATTTGTCCTCTTTCCTGGGAATGTGGACATCTGCTCAGTAGTCCTGTGCTGATCTTTCCATTGGATCCATTTAAGGCAGGCTTCCGTTGCAATTTCAAATGGGATATTTGAGTTCATGCATTTATGAGGTTGGCTTTGGGAAGCTCTAAATATGTCAAGAGTTTTACTTTCCTTTCAAAGTGTTCAACCTCGACATATTCCTGTATTGATATATATAAACTGTATTGATCTATTTTCTTTCAAGGCCAAATATTCCCATGTGTATGTATTTTTATGTATATGCCTTCAACTCACTTATTGACCCTATGTTGACCCCATGACATTAATAAGGATTTTCATAGGCAAAGGTTGCTCAGAAGAGGCCGGGTTACTCCTTTCGTCTGAAATACGGCCTGAGATAATCCAATGTAATTGGAGGAGAGATGCTGTTGTGTATTTAAGCATTTTGGTTTGTGTTTCATGGTGCGTTTTCTTGGTTTGTGTTGCAGCATTGCCATTTCGTAACCGGATCATTGGAGGCGAGATATGTGCTGAGACTGGGCATCCTTGGCTTGTGTGGATCTATGACTCCAACGGGCTCTACTGCTCAGGAGTAGTGGTCAGTAATGACTGGGTTCTCACTGCTGCTCATTGCTATGTAAGGTGAGAATTGCTAGCTGTTTAGTTGGAAATGTTCAGTTGGAAATGTTCAGAAATACTTTCGTCAGCTTTGCCCCAGAGCCTAGAAAAATCACTTGCTTGGCTCTAGACTATCACAACTGTCTGGAGCCATGTTGGCAGTGTGATTCTGGGATGTTTCATTTAACATGTTAAGAAAATGCATAATACAACCTGTCCAAAGCAAAACTTGGGAAAATGTATGTTTTGGCATGCAGCTTTCCATTTACTCTATGTTTCTTGACATTGCGGGAGGAGCTGCAGACCACATGATCAGATCTCAGGCTCCATTTTAGAACACAGAGACACTTGATGTAGAAACAAGATGTTTTATGGGAGAGTAGATGTTTTTGGGCACTGAAAAGAACACTTCTGAAGAACTGCTATTTTTTGTGCGTTGGCATAATCTCTGTTCCTAACAGATCAGAGACAACTTGCATAAGTATATGTGAATACAGTATATACCACTGAAGAGAAGATTTTACTCAAACTAATTTTTGGCTCGTCTCTGGAAGATCATACTTTTACAAAAGGTTATTATTTTCAAATGGTTGTGAATGACATTTTTCTCCAAAACATTATGGACATTCTGGTTTTCCAAAAGGTTATGTCTTTCCAAAAAGAATCTCTAAGACTTGAGATTAAGATCCCATCTACACTGATAATTCAATGCAGTTTCAAACTGTATTAAAAAAGGGGGTTTTGCTGTGCAGATGATTACATAGGAAATCCGAGAACACAGTGATGTACATTAAGGGCTTTCTTTTTGCACACTTTTATGGTAGTTTGTTGTCTGGTTGCCACCATTTGATGCCAGCTTTGAACTGCATTAAATGGTCAGTGTAGATGAGGCATAAGAGACAGACCCTGAGAGTTGGGAACCCCATTTCAAACCTATTGTTGGATTAGACCTCCCAAAATTCTCCATGCAGATTCAGGGTTCTGAGAGCTGAAATTCAAATATATGGAAAGCCAAGGATAGGAAGAACTAATATAAGAAACCTGCCCACCTGTGCCCTGTTTCAAGAGCTCCATAATGTCTTTGCTCTCTCCTTGTAGCTCTGGAATGCAGTTGAAGTTTGGACTACACAACAGAGAGGTGCCAAGAGAGGGAGAGCAGTTAAGAACCTGTGCAGAGGCCAAATGCTATCTGGATAGCTCTGACTCCAACAACTGTGCAGAAGCCACCTTCAGAGACGATATCATGTTGGTCAAACTGAATGCCCCTGTTGACTACAATGACAATGTTCAACCTATTATCCTGCCCACTGCTGTGCCCGAAGAGGGAACAGAATGCAAAGTGATGGGCTGGGGCTCCACCACCAGTCCTGAAGGTAAGTCGTGGTTGTACATAGTTCTTTGCATTGTCAGGTGTTTGTCTCATTCCAGAACAGAGCTGGATACCCGCCTATGAGCTCTTTCACACTACACAATTATAGTACTTTAATGCCACTTTAACTGTATGGCTCCAACCTATGGCATCTCAGCATTTGTACTTTTATGAAGTATGTTACATCCTCTTACAGAGAGCTTAGAGGCTCTCCAGACTACAGGAATCAGTTGGATGGGACCAGTGTAATTCTTCTGTTTCTACACACTTCAAAGATGGTTGAAAGACAGATTTCCATGAGCCAATCAAACAACAGGACTGCTTCCAATGGTTGCTCATGAGACTCCATCACAGCAGCATATAGAAATGGGAGGATTTCAAAACCAAGCACAAATCGACTCCACTCCATCAAGTGTGCGTAGAAATGCCTAAAAATAGATATCTGTGCTTGGGATAGGAAGTGGTGGATTTCTGTTTTATGAAGTGCCCATGACCCTTCTATGCATTAGTGATTTAAAGACAGTGTGGGTCCCACTGAAAGAAGTGTTTTATAAATGATCTCCTCTAGAGGAGGGATTCAAAGAGAAGGTGGAGAGATTCCGTTGAAAGAAGTATCTTCAATGGGAACTTGAGCTAGTTGAGCTAGAAAGGGGTAGAAGTGATCCTGTGTGATGGGGGTGAGTAAATTCTCTGCCTCTGTTAAAAACAGAACTGTCACACCCCTGGTCTGAAGCCACCTATGACCAAAAGCAATACAGTCCAAAAATTTCCATCCCAGTTATATCCTACCTTGCTCATGCCCAGCATTATTTTTTAAATTTTACATTTGGCCCAGCCATAGGTTTTAAATGCTTGTTGTGTTACTGTACTGCTTTATTTTATTTTTGTTTATGAGATGTATTTTAACTGTTTTTGTATTGTTTGTTGCTATTGTTTTATTATTGATGTGTTGTGGGCTCGGCCTCATGTAAGCCGCACCGAGTCCCTTGGGGAGATGGTAGCGGGGTATAAATAAAGTTGTTTATTATTATTATTATTATTATTATTATTATTAGTCCCAAAATACAAAGAAAGCTTAAGTCCACAAGCAAAACTTGAACAAGAATACAAAACAAGAACATTGTATCCCAGGATACATGAATCCCAAACCAAGACATGAAACATGAACCACAGTATTCAGGCCTAGCTGTACTTGAAAGCTATGTTGCCTGAACTGAAGACAAAGAACCCATTAGCTCCTAATAAACAGACATGAAAGCATTATGCCTGCTCTGGAATTTATGGTTTCCCATGAGAGTTTCTCATCAATTCTCATCCATTCATCTTTGCTCAACTTCTTATCTAGGGACAATGAATCCAACTCCTGTGTCTGGCCTTGAGGTTCAGAGGCAATTATGTTCTCAGGCCCTGCTTCTGTGTCTGCATCAGAATAAATCTCAGGAAAGCCCACAATCCCATCAGGCTTTAACAGCCCTTCCACACAGCCATATAACCCAGAATATCAAGGCAAAAAATAAATAAATCCCACAATATCAGTTGAAACATTCACACCTAGCTCCAGCAGGGAAGAGCTCCTTGCCCCACCCCAGCCATTCCACAGATATATAAACCCATTGTCCTAATTCCAACAGACCTCACTACCTCTGAGGATGCTTGCCATAGATGCAGGCGAAACGTCAGGAGAAATGCCTCTAGAACATGGCCATATAGCCCGAAAAAACCCACAAGAACCTAGTATCTCTCTGGCTTTCTTTGTTGGCTACGAAAGGGCTCCTCTGACTTTAATCTAGGACTGAACAGTTGCTGCAGGTCATTGGACTGCATTCCTCACCACTGGCTGTGCAGGCCTACTAGGAGTTGCAACCCCACAAGAGCTGGAGAACTGTGTAACTCCCATCCTTGCACTAGAGAAGTTTCAACATGTCCATATTTCTTCTCACAGGTGAAGCATGCGTACTGAACATGCTTAATTTGAAAGTCTCCATACTCCTGAAAGTGGACATTTTGCATGGCCAGCCTTTGAAAAATAGAGGTCTTCATCCATTACAAAATAGAGCAATTGCAAGGTTTTTATGGTGCCCCTTTTCTTTCCTTTTTCTTTTCAGAGACTTATCCTCTTGTTCCTTACTGTGTTTGCATTGAAATACTCAACAATGATGTGTGTGAAGCTGCTTACCCTTGGTGGACAGCAAATGATAAAGTGCTTTGCGCTGGAGTTCTGGATGGAGGCAAGGATTCATGTCGGGTAAGGATCTTTCCTTTGGGGGTAGAGTTTCTAAGAAACATAGGTTTCTTTCTGAAGTGCAGGCCTAAATGTGCAATTTGTGCGTCTCTGGAATCAGTATTAAGAAAAAGTACTGTTTCGGATTATAGCTCTCAGATCCCCCAGTCCACCGTTTTGAGAAATGGAATCCAAATATTTTCTTATGCTCTGTCCAACATTTCATTTGACTTACTAGGGGCTG